TTCAACACACTGTTATTGATCACCCTAAACAGCACAGGGTTTTTCCATGCTCATCCATGAACCCCATGGATAATGTGTGACGGGAGAGGTGCAAGGCGTGAGGGCAAACGTGACTTGAAAAAAATAATGCCTGATGTCAACAGAAATTGAGGCTCAAGAGTTCAAATGAGTTGCTCAGTGTCACACACACTGATCAATTACAAGGGTTGTTTGAGTCTGGAGTAGGGACTCTTAGATACAGAGGTCTGTTGAGTCTGTAGTTGGGACTCTACGCAGGTCTCCTATGCTGCCTTGTTACATTATCTGCTTCTAATATGAGTTGTCATGTTTTCGGTAGATTAGCTGCCGTGTGTATTCTAGTTTTCTCTAAAAGTGTACAAGTATCAGTAGGGTAAAGTGTTACTAATGTTCATGGAATAAAATTACATAATAAAAACCTGAACTTTATAGAATGCAGGAAGGAAGAAAAAGTATGTTGCAGAGGTGTATGGCTTGAAATACAAGGAGTTGCCACTTCACAATTCAGGTTTCAAGTAGCTATGTCTAATTCATTCCAGCAGGTAAAATTGGAGTACAGCACTACTGAAGAGCAGTGTTCACAAAAGGATAAACATGGCAGTTTACCTGATTTTTTGAGTTACGTTGTTTGTAACTTGGCATATGAAGAGATCTGAGATGTCTGTTTAGATTTTAGCACTCTTAATGTGACTAAAAATGTCCTAAAGGCTCAACACGTACACCCACTGAGGTTTACATAGCGCAAAGGCTAGATATAGCACACAGTTCCAAATTTCACTAGACAAAAAAACCCCACCAAACCAAGACTGGCATGTGAACTTCTGTGTTAAAGAAACTGCCTGCGCACTATATGCTGATGTTTATTCTAGCAGATTGATCTCTATCATGCATAATATCTTCATATCCACTAAATGTGTTTTTATTTTATTCATCTTACAAGTTTGTCATCATATGACAGAATGGAAGATGGGTTGCCATGCCTGTGTTGTCTGTAAAACCCGATAACATTTAAGATGTGTCTCTGCAAGACATGATCAATAACAGCATGCCCCAAAAGCAAAACTGAATCTGTGTAACAAAGGCTGAGTGGAGCCTTTCACATTTGTGTGTCCTGGGTTTTAAGTATTCAGGGTTTTTTTAAATTTTGCATGCCAATAGACGTGCCTTGAATTGTTAGCAGGCAGCCTGGATATTTGAGGAAGCAAGTTGCCTTGAAAACTGAGTTTAGCACACTGAAAAACCAGGTGTGACATAGCCAAAAAAAAATTTCCGTGATGAACTCCTCAACTCCATTTTAGTTAGTTTCCTTATTTACATTGTAAAACAGCTAAAAAGGTAAAGGATATTTATAATTTATATAGATTAACATATTGTGTGTATTTAATCCAGTCATTATTTGGAGAGTGGTGCAGATCCACCTGATGTCCCTGAGAGCTGATTTCATAATGAAATTATAAAGGTTCATAAGTTGGGAAGAAGACATAGTTCCTAATGAGTAGGTTATAACACTTTGGAAGAGAGAAGAACCTATGGCTTGATTCAGTATCACATGACACTTCCTAAATGATCTTTAACACCAGCATTTTTGCAACTTGGTTTATGGGTCTTTCTTTAGCTTTTGGGATCTGCACGATGTCAGAGAGATAAAGGCAGTTACAGTGGTTATTTTCTTCCTGCAAAGATGTTTGTGCCGTAAAGTAAAAGACCTTGAAAAAGTGTTACCTTGATGTAAACTTACTTTGAATACTGCAATTTACTTTGCAATATACACTATAGCTACAATTATTGTAATTTTTTATATTAATATTTAAAGTGATTGGAATTTCATTAAATACATGTTAGCTTACTGAAGAATTCCCAAAGCTGAGTGCAGTGGAGAAGTTATTCATTATTTTTTCATTTTAAATTTTATAAGGAAAGCATTTCAGAATCAATTAGCATTTGAACTGTAATTTTTTTGTTTAGACTTGATAATTGTGCAAATGTTACATCAATTATTGTGTGTGTTGTGCATGTATTATTACGTATAAATGTTATCTGAGAAGTTATCATTAATGTTCAATATGGGAATAAAATCAATTACGCTGCTTTAGCATTTCAGTTTATGAGAAAATTGTTGTCTTTACTCTTTGCTAAGTTATTCTTGCATTTAATAATTCAATAGTCAGTCTGAACGATTTTTCAACAGGGAAAAGGGGTCAGAAGCTTGTCTTTATTTTCCGTGTATATTCCATGTTGTACTCAGGGGAATGGTATATCCAAAAATAAGACTATAAATAAGAAATCAGTAGCCTTTTCTGTCTTGCTGCATTATGTGGGTTTGATATATGCTTCTGCAGCATTATTACTTACTCTGTTCAAATCAATGCTCTGAGCTTTTCTTTTGTGATTGATTTCTTCCAGATTAGCCTGAGAAGTACGTGATTTAATAAACACCGCCGTTACCTGTTCGCTAACACACAAATGTCAGCAGTATTACATACAGAGATACTATAAAGTTTCCAAAATGCTTTAGTCAGTCATAAGATTTTGATGGTGTAACTTTATTTGAATAGGAAAGAGAAAACAACTTTGGTCTTATGTAGTCAAAAGCAAAATAAAAGTGCTTGTAAGAAATAGAAATAAAGAAAGAACATTTTAAAATCAAGCCAGGTTCTGTAGGAGACAGCGGTGAAACGGAAAGATGCTTACTAGAGTATTCTCCTCTTTAATGCCACTTTCATGCCTCAGAAAAGCATTTTTTCCATCCTATTGTCTTATTGTCATAACAGATTGAAAAGTATCAGTAGCACTGTATAGCTGTATGTGTCCCTCCCTAAAATATACCTATGAGTATGTATCTTGCATTACCATTTAGTGATGGTTTTTGCAGAAATGGGGTGTCAGGGGAGAATTCAAATGTTTAGTGTGATATAGTACTATTTAGGATTCAGAGGCTTTAGGCTCCATGTAGAATGCCTCCTCTTTAATAGGTTGTTATTTCATTGACACAGTTGCTTTTCCATAACAACTTACAGGTTGTTAACGTTTTGGGCAGCTATCTCTCAAAAGAGTTCCGTGCAGGACAAGGAAGAATTTTGGATGGCATTTGGACATTTAGAACCAGATTTTTTACAGTTGCTTATGGCTGGATTGTGTGAACCTTGTTTGGATACAGTTTTGCACATATTTCTGTTTGCCCTAACAATTGGGTTTTTTATATTTCCACAATACCTCTCTGATATTCCGAAGATCAATGTTTTCTAATGCTTTTCAACCCAGAGATTCTTGTGTGTAATCACTGATAGAAAACATAGTGGCCTTCAGGTACTAATGGCCTGCACAGTTCATAAGTTTGGAGAGAAGTTTCTTGACGGGTCATTGTGTTGAACTTACCACAGATCTCAAAACACAGTATTTTTCATCTTCCTTCAGGTTCACTCTTAGTTCTTTAGTTTTCCTGATAATGGCCTGTCATATCATTATTCCTTCCTATTTTTTTTTTCTCACTGTATATATGGCAAGGTTTTTTTTTCTTCATGCCTTTTGCAATATTGTATTCTCTAGAGGTAAATCTCAATAGCTCATAGTATGTCTCTGCTCAGATGTAGGTTGCAGCCTGTTATACAGTATGTTCCCTCAGTCTCTATACCCAACTCAGTCTGTGGCCAGGTCATTTCTTTAATGCTTTCATAGAAATGTTGTTGGGGTTCTATTAATCTTTCTTCAGGAAACTTGTATTTCTGATATTACCCTGTTTTCATCCACTTTCCTGGGAGATAGTTTTCCTTTTCAATTGCTGTACTGTTGTTTTTAATATTACTTAGGATTGTTGTCTTTTCCTACTACTTTGTATTGTAGCATTAAAATGCTACTTTCAGCACAGCAACTACCATATTGCTTTTGAAGGATAGATATTATTCTAACCCCCTCAACACCTTGGGAAGTATTGTACAAGATGATTCTATTCAGTCCACATTTTTATCAACACGATCACCCTCACCTGCAGCCATCATTCCATTTTAGAGCACAGCCCTACAGCTATTTTTTCCCTTTTTGCAATATCAAGATATGAAGAAGATGAATGAAAGTTTCTTGCATGTTTTTGTCAGTTTGTTTTTATAGCTCCCATGAACAGCAATGGACTTGGCAGCCTAGAGACTGAAATCCTCTGTTTAATCACAGGCTAGGTATAGTTCAACAGAAAGGCATATTTCTATACACAGCCCCTGTAGCATGTTTAAGCCTTGTGCTGGACTGCCTGTCTTCTATAAGTGAAAGAAAGCACTTCAGGCCAGTCAGTCCCTGGCCTCATCTCTGGAACTGTTGAAAAGAAGCGCTCGTGTCGTTGAGTTTCATGACAGGTACTAATGTCTGGTCTGGGTTGGACTGAGAATTCCCTTTCACGCATTTGGGAATTTCTTTCTCTAAGTTACTGAGAGAATGGAGGGTTCTATCCGGTTTGGAAGTTGTACGTCTCTGTGCATCAAGTTGTCACGTATCTCTTCAAAAGGCAGTAGGTTTTCAGGTCAGCTTGCATTTAGCCGTGGGCTTGACCTGAAGCTCATTAACGTCTATGATGTTTGGTGGTTGTTTTTTTTTCCCTTGTGTAAACTCTCAAAATACAGTAACTAAAACTAGAGAACTAAGTAAAACAATAAACCTTCTTCCTCTTTTCAAAATGTTGAGATGTTTTATTTGAGAACAAAGCAAAACTGAGGTCCTTCAGAGAGTCCTGCAGTATCCTAGGTCCACAGAAGAAGCACTACACAGAATTCTTTTATGTGGTCATAAACTGTAATCTCATAACATTTTTATTGTTGTATCAGGAAGGCAATGGTCTAGGTCGTACTCCTTTTCACAAAGATGTGTTTATGGGGTTTCATTAATTTTTCCCTGAAAATCCAGTGTAATAAAAGTATGTGCTATTCCAAAAGAAGTGCTGGCTATTAAATCTGCTAGAAATTATTTGACTGTTTTGTGGGTTTTTTTGTATTTTTCAGCTAACAGGACAAGTGACTTTGCAAATTGCCAATGAACCAGTTTTGCCGTTTAATGCCCTCGACATCGCATTAGAAGTTCAGAACAGTCTTAAAGGTAATTTTTGTTAGAGGAATATTGTTCTCCATTAATGCAGAGGAAAAAAAAAAGGATCATCTACTCCCTAACAAGGATTTTCAATTTCCTTTTGAACGATAGCCAGTGATTTTACTAGTTAAGCAGTGTCATTATATAATGCTAAATAAAACACCGTTTTTCTTGCTAAATAAAGCCATAAAATGTTTATATTTCTTTTGATGTTACTATGTCAGTTAAGCAATAATTAGGATTGAATTCTCATCATCACAGTCAAAGATTGCAGTCAAAGTCACTTCTGTGACTGAATTTGGTTTTAAATCCTTTCGGGGCTTTGTTCAGTACAAACAAGAGAGGGCTTCTAACCCTGTTGCCATTTGGCTCCTTAATTTTCACAATCATCTTCCTTGTTTGCTTATTTCACTAACTCACCTTGTTGGCAGAGCATGCCAACTTTCCTTCTTTTTCAAGCATGACAAAGCACAATAATTTACCAATACTTACTGTTTGAGTCAATTAAGCACTGAGACCCTGGAAGCTCTGTATTTGAAACTGATCTTGGTGTGTTTGGGACAATGGTTTGGGGTTAGGGAGAGGGACAAAGGAGTTCCTAGTCAGGAGTAAACAAGTGACTGGGAAACGATGCAGATTCAATTCTCATAGACTCTGGGTTTGGCAGTGTTTGTGAGGTGTAGGACGAATGCCTTGATATGAGACCACTCCATCAAGATTGTGGAGCCGTTACTAATATTCCTGTGTTGCCTTCTCATTTCTGGCTCTTTCTGTTGTCTTGTGGCCTTTTAGGGCTTCATAAATGAATGAGCATTCTGCAGTCTTTTTGTCATATGCTGACAACAGAACCTAATGAAGCCAGTAGCCTTTTGCTAGAGCTGTTTAAGGCAACACAGTTAAAGGGTACCATTGTGCATTCCCTTTGCTTCTGGGGGCTGTTTGTTGTTTGTTTTTTTCTCTACAGTTGGTAAAAAAACGTTGATCTGTTATAAGGAACTAAACCCATTGTGTGTTACTGAGACATTCTCTGCTACTATCTAGACTACAAAAGAACAATAAACCTTCTTATCAATTATGAAAATAATATCTGTCTTAGCTCCAGTCCTGAGGACTAAGAAGGGAGAGGAAGTCTAGGTTCTAACACTGTTTAGTGTCACTCATCCATTTAAGCTTTCTCCTTCAGTATCATCTGTCTTCCTCCTCCCATTTAAGGGAAGCTGTCATGTTTCTCTTACAGTTTCCTCATAACTTAGTGTATTCAAATGAGATCCAATTCTCCCTCCTTTTCTAAGTGATTAGTTGCAAGTAGGCTGGATGTGGAGAGCACCTAAGAGACTTAGTCCTTAGAGATTAAATCTTCTGATAATATAGCTGACAAGCTTTTTGTGTACAAAGTGAGATATTTCAGAAGCTGGTATTCTGGTCAGAATTCAGTGAACTTAAAAGGAATGGTAAAAGGTACATCCCTGACAAGAACCCCCATGAAGTTTGAAATACTACTCCAAAGCATGCCCTTGTTAGAACCTCACAGTGGAAAAATGTGAGATAGGTAAAACCATATTGTTATTTTCTCTTCTCCAATTATGTCTCTGATACAGACTGCCTGTAGTGTGCTAAGGCCTTTCAAAACTGATTTTTCTATTTACACGTTTATGGAACTCTCACATTGATCTGTCATGAGATAGAAGTTCTATAAAATCACATGAAAACTTTACATATAGTTTAGTGGAATATGACATCTCAAACTTAAAGATTTTTTGCAATCTTGAGATGCTGCCCCTGCATTTCATTTACTCCCTAAAGTATCACTGTTCTGTAATACACATTCATAGAAGTATGATACCTTTTCTTGAATCTTTGCCATCAATCTTTGTCAAGACCTGGGAGTCGCTAGGCTAGCATCGGTCTGGAATTAGTGAGCATCCAAAAAGACAAGTAATTTTAGCTCTGTTGTGCCATATAAACATTGGTTTAGTTCAGCCTATGTACAACAGGGGATAATCATCAAATAAGAAGTGTGGCTCAGCTGGTATTCCTTCAACTGAACATGAGATCTCAGGTATTGTTCTTCCTTTCTTCTTTATTTTGAGTAACAGGAAATTTTGTTTTGAACTGACTTTTTTTTTCCTCAAACTTCTGTTAGATCATTTATCTGAACCACTTCAGGGGAGGGAAAATTATTTTCTAGTCTGTAAGGCCAGCAGGATACATTTTCTCCCAGCTGTTCACTTCGGAGTTTTTTTTAATGACTTTCATGTCTCATCTATCCCTGACTTGTGTCAAATAACAGTTTATTTTTATTTTGGAAACCAATAAAACAATAGTCTTTTTCCTTTTTACTTAAATGAGAAGTTTTACTTTTTAACATGGCTCATGGATTTCCTCATTCTTCAAAAGATTTTATGTTGTCTTAGATTTCTAAGACTTTATGTTAGGCTTAATTTTGTGCCTATGGGATCTAGTTCAGCCGATCACTTAAACACATGTCCTATTGCCTGTTGGACTTTCTCACGTTCTTGAAGCTAAAACATATGTGTAAATACTGGAGTCACAGTTTTGCAGTCTCCTGGATGTCCTCACAAAAGAATGCGTGGGTCTTAATATTTGTTAATATTGCGTTCATTTGTGATTCCATTAAATCTGTAATGAGGTGAGTGTCTGTACTGTTAGCTCTGTTAAATTCAATGGGATGTTACTCAGCACTTCATAAACCATGTCTTCCATTTGGGATAGGCTGGATGGCAGGTTATAGGGAAATGTCATCCACAACATGTTTACATCTGGCTTGAAGCCTGTTCCTCCAAAAGATGGGGAAATGGCTGTTAAATGGCATGTGTGCTCTCTGCTAGCACACACCAGAACTCCTGGAAACAAGTTATTCCTATTGGGTTTACCTGAAAGGAAGGGTTGCAACTGGAGAGACATTTCTTTTTGTGCATCTGCTGATGCTCTGATGTTTAACAGGAAACCTTGTGATCATAAATGGTATGAGGTGAGCTCCAAGACTGAAATCCAGGTCCCCAGGGCTATTCAGGCTGTTACCTGTCTGATCACAGATGTGATATTTTAGAGAAATTCGTTGATAGGTGGCAGTTAAAATAGTCTCATTAACTACACATTGCGGTTGTGCAGTGTTTGTGCCTTTCATACATTTGAAATCAAGACCCTCTGCACCTTGAATTAGAGGAATATCTCAGTAGGCCTTGCATGCTATGAAAACCCAATTCATCTTTCGAGGTAGGGCACAATCAAGGTGCCAAATCTGATGTGTGAATGATACAAAAGGTTCTTATAAGCACTTTTATAGAATTATTTTGAAAGTATATGTAAGTAAAAATGTATAAGCATTTGTATGTAAGTATTTTGTGTGTATATAAGAATTTTTGTTCAAAACATATTTGTATAATCTGCTGAAAGCTTTTAGCACTGTGCAGTCTGGACATGCTCCTTGTAGTCTATCTTGCACTGGATTTGAGCCTCTTTAAAATTTACTATATATTACAGCAAGCTTCAGGGATTGATGGTGGAGGTGTCTCATTAGGATTGAAAGCCTTTCTGTACCTTTGCACCTGACTGACTCGGCAATAACAGGTTCAATCACACAGTTTACAAAAATAAAGGCAACCAGGTTTGATGCTAGCCGTGTCTCTTGCTTAGGTGCTGTCGGCTGTAGAAGCCGATGCTGTTTCATTATTGCAGGTCACTGAGCCCACCTAGACTCATACAGACCTTTCAGAAATCAGTATCTGTTGCTCCAGCCTTAGATTGTGGCTGAGTAGCACTTGGCACACGTGCTAAGATTCCCTAGTTGTGGCTGTTGTCACAGGCTGCTGAAGCTGGTAAGCAAATCAGGTAAGCTGTAAGCCATCTCTAATTGGTACTGTCTGGGAGAGGCCTATGAAGACAAATTAAGTGTGAGTGAGATTTTCTGGTTTTCCCTGTATAGGGAGAGCAAGGGCTGTGATTTAAAGCTCTTTGGCTGACGCAGTGTCAATTGTGTGTAACTTCCTATCCTTTCTTCTCCCCGGAATGGATGTTTTACAGATGTTACAGCAGCTGAAGTACTTGGTGTGATAATAGTAGGCAGTGCTAGCAGAACTTTAAAAGTAATCTGTTTTATGATAAGCCATTTCCAGAAAAGTATGCATGACTTCCCACAGCCTTGGCTCAACCGATACGTTTCAAAATATCAGTGTAAACCCTCCGTCCTTAGAAAAATCAATACAGAAACATATCTCTGTCATTTACTTGATGGCTGCATACTCATTACCTACAGCTATCTTCAGCTTGGCATCCATTTACCTGCTTGACTGTATTTCCCTGATCGTTTAGGGTGCTTTTCAGAGTTGCTTTCACCATTTGTCTGTAATGTTCAAGAAGTTTCCCTCTTTACTGTTTCCACCCATTATTCTTGACGGCTACAGAGGTGAAAAATGCAACAGTTAGTTATCTGTATATATGACAGAAATACCTTCTTTGCTATGACATACTGACATCTTGTCTTCAGTATCCTTTCAGAGATATTATATATTAGTATCAGCAAACATTTCATCAGCCTTAAAAAAAAAAAAAATTTGTGGAAAAGTGTGTTGTCCATGGACAAAGCATTTGGTACTGAAGGGAAAGGATAAGCCTCTATTCTGTGTCGGTAAACCACATATGTTTCTGCAGCTTTATGCGAAGTCATTGATAACTTCACAGAATCACAGAACTGTTTGGGTTGGAAAGAGCCTTTAAAGGTCACCTAGTCCAACCACCCCTGCAGTGAGCAGGGACATCTTCAACTAGATCAGATTGCTCAGAGCCCCGTGCAAGTTGACCTTGAATGTTTCCAGGGATGGGCCTTCTAGCACCTCTCTGGGCAACCTGTTCCAGTGTTTCACCATCATAAAAAATTTCTTTTTTATATCTAGCCTAAATCTACCCCCTTTTACTTTAAAACCATTACCCCTTGTCCTATCGCAACAGGCCCTGCTAAAAAGTGTGTCCCCATCTTTCATATAAGCCCCCTTTAAGTACTGAAAGATCACAATAAAGTCTCCGCAGATCCTTCTCTTCTCCAGGCTCTTCTCCAGGCTTCTTTTGTACAGTCATGCATAATAATATGTCACAACATGCCTTTTTATTGATAGTCTCTTTGAAAAGAGACTTTTAGCAACACCAGATTAGTTCCCTTGGGCAGCAGCAGTCACGGTAGCAAAATTGAAGCTGATGGCAACATGTTCTTTGCACTGAGGATGTCCATGGATTTGTGTTTCTGCCCCCTTTAGGGTACTCTCTACAAAGCTTTTCCATTCAAATTTTCCACTGCCAGGTCTGATCATCCAATTTTGCACAGCATGAAAAATCTAGCTAATCCTGAATTTGCAAGGTAATCAAAACCTGAAGCAATTTCCCCTCTGTCTTACATGGAAACACATGTTCATGTGCATGATGAGCTAGCATCATACCTTAAACTGCTGATTTGTCTGTGCTCATTCTCCTATATGTACTCATAGGTAAGTACATTCATACTTAGGGCACAAACACAATTTTAAAATGTTAAATCTCTAGCAGTACTTTTCATAAGAGTAATCAGTTGCACAGGGAGAGGCTATTGTATTCAATGTCTGTAAAAATAAATAGCTATTTGGTGTAACCTGTTTCTGAATAAAATCCAGTTACATTCAGCAAGTGTAATCAAATTCAAGAGTGCAATTCTCTGATCAAGAGTGTACATACTCTTGACTCACTTTCTTGTACTTGCAATTTTATTTATTTAACAACTAAACAACGAGCCTGGGTGATTCATCATGATTCGTACTGGAAACAAAAGGACAAAAAATACGAAATATAATAATGTGGCATTACTTTGTTTTGAGTGAAATAACACTTGCAGGTTTTTTTATGTTCTCTGTAGAAGCATCAAAAGATGGTTAAGACATGATTAGTTAATGCATCCTTTTCTTTAAGAATCATTTGTCCTTCCACTCCCAGCTTCTCAACTTGAGAAAAGCATAAATCACAGTTTCCCTTGGCAGTGAAGTTCAGTGTGTTGTGGTAAAAACTACTGATGCCCTTAAAGCTATGTCCTTAGTTCTCTGTGGTAACACTAGCCACAGACACTTCCAAGTCTTGTACTGAAGTATTAAAAAAGGGCCTGGGTGCTTGTTTTATAATGAGTGCTGGTTTAGAATGTGATGTAAGCAGTGCTTGTTACTCATGACTGTAAAGTAAAATGTAGTTGATTTAGGGGCAAAATGCATGCTATGGAGCAGCAGTGAGAGCATTTACAGGATTTCTGTTTTTAAAAGGGTGGTCTGGTTGGCTTCATTTCCAAGTATGGAATGATGCATTTTCCCTTTATTTCACCTTCCCTATTTAAAAGGCATAGCTGACATTTACAAATGTTTATATAATATTCAGAATAAAAAATTTAAATGTTGTATGTTACTTGGAATATGAAGTGCTTTGCTGAAACCAAAGGATTCTTTCTAACAGGGTGAATTTAAACCTTTCCATACTGACACAAGTCCCAGGGTAAGGTATGCACAGTGCCTGGATTATATGCATGGAAATGGCAAGTTCTTCAGCTGCACAGGATGTTTGCCTAAGATATGAAAATTGAGGATACTGATTTTTTGCAAATTATCCCAGATGTACCAAGTTTATATGCTTGGAGAATATTTTTCTGAATATTTTCAACCTGACTTAATCAGACTTTAAATTACTCAAGACTCAATCAGAAAGATACCAGTCCTGTGCATCGAGGTACTACAGTGCCCGTTATCCGTTCTGACTAGGGAAGGATTGATCAAGAGCCATTGACAAAGCAACCTTGTCCCAAACCAAGACGGGCATAAGCCATCTTCCCTCACTCCTGTTCCCACAGAAAGCTTCTGTTCATTGTTGAAATTCTTCTTGATGGCTCAGGAAATCTGACAATTTCTCTCATATCAGCATCTGTCTCTCCATGTATTTTGGATCATTCCGTGTTTTGCTAGATTGGAATGCGTTAGTCAGCTGAATGACAAGAGTGCGTGGGGTTCTATTTCACTTTGGTGAAATATATCCAGTAGCAAATCTCTTTGTCCGTGTGAGAGGGAGAATATGTCACATTCAGGCGTTTCCTTGAATTTTTTTTAGTTGTACCTATTTCTTTTCTATTCCTGTTATATGCTCACCTTTCAGACTCTATCCATAAATAGTTTGAGAAATGAGTTGATGTTGTCTATTTACTATTTCTGATCTCTCCATATATGTATTAGGCAAGGAACTTTAGTATTCATTTAACTTGTGTCTTGAACCACTTTGTTGGATTAATCATCTCAGTCACTAAGCTACTGAAATCACTGGGCTTCATACATTCAGCTGAAGGTGAGACAGTTTCTAAAGCTGAATGGTTTAAATTAAATCATAATTTGAAAGACCTAAGGATAGTTGATTTTCTTGTCCTTAATAGGCAAAGTGAATCTTGGCCTTAAAGATCATTTCTGCATCCAGGAAATGTTTTTGCTGACTGATGTTACTTTTGACTTCATATCAGGTTCAGACTCTGCTTTCTCTCTCCATGTGCTTGTAAAAATTAACGCAGTCTATGCACACACTGGGAAAGGAGGCCATGCGCTCCACCTGCGTAGCAGGTCGGAATAGACTGAACGTACACAATGCTCCAGTTCACGTATCACATTCTTCCTTCTGGGCTGAGAACAGCAAAATATCGAAATTGTGGTGTGCTCTGAAGTGCTGTGGACTTTTATTCTTTTGGTGTCTGTGTGGAATTACAAACAAAGTAAAACAGTTAACACTCTCAAGTTTAAAAAGTTTTGAAAATATTGACTGGATTAAAATATGCATTTGGATATCAATTAAAGTGTTAGTTGACTCATTGGCATATGGTTTAAGTGATTAAGAGGAACAATTTCACATCCCCTCTACAACTGTTGTTAACCTCTAGGATTCTCAAATGTTGAACGAAATTCAATTAAACTCTGCATATTACGATTTTCTATACAGCAGTCATTATGGAAACTAAGCACAAGCTTTCACCCTTGAGAGCAGTAGCATCAAATGGCATTGAATAAATTCTTTCTCAGAAGGAAATTTTACAGTCGCTGATTTATAACCATTGCTTCCTACATACCCGTTTTTTTCCAATAGTAGATTTCAAGCTGTACCTCAAAATCGTTCCTCATAGCTTATTAGATCCTAAAGCATCACAGCCCGAACTGATCTTTCAAAACTAGATCAGAGCTTATGTGCAATGATGTGTGGCTTCCTTTGTCCTATTACATAATTCTCACAAGGGAAAAGAGGCTCTGGTTTTAATTGAACAATTAATTTTGACTTGTAAGCAAGAGTAATGAGTGATGTTCTCTGAATCACTGGCAACTGTCTTGCTCTTACTATTCCTAGGTGATGAAGTAGACGTTCCTCAGTTGCTTACAGTGGCATCACGTCTGAGGGACACCGCAGAGTTGTTCCAATCGGATGAGATGCGCCCAGCTAATGACCCCAAGGAGCGAGCTCCTGTCAGAGTCAGGATGCTCAATGATGTGCTACAGAGCTTGGAGAAAAGCTTCCTGGTTCATCGAGCTCCTCCAGGACTTTACAGGTGTGGTGTTCATTTGAGCTAAAATGGTAATCTCGCATTGCTTGGGTTTCAAAACTGTCATGCTCTTTCTGGGAAAAAAAAAAAAAACAACTCAGTGAGTATCCAAGATTAAAGCTGTTTTCTCCTTTCTCATCCTTTCTGTGGAAAATGTTAATTCATTACAATACAAGAGGTCATTAGGATGCAGCACTGTAGCATTTCTGTCATGACATCACTGCTAACAAGATGTACGGTGTGATGGCAGCTCAGGCAGCATGACAGATACTTGTGTTAGACGGTACAATAAGCTTTCAGAAGAAGAAAAATATCTTGAAGCCTAATACTGCTTGACAAGTTCCACCTATATTTTATTTAAAACTTTTTACAGTTCATTGAAGATTCAGAATTACACAAGATACTGTGTAGCATTATTTAACATATTTAATTATATAGCAGTGTTCTTGGATGCTTTTCAAAGGCAGTACAGTGGAGTGAATGAGAGGGCCTTAGTCAGTCACCATTCATACCATCTTGACTCTGTTTAGAATTATTCTCCAATGATGTATTCAGCTGCACTACCCAGCTTGATGTTAAGATACCATAATCGTTCCATCTTTCACTTTCTAAGAAAGAAATCTACAGGTCTATTGCTCTCACCATAGATTCCTCTACAAAAACAAACAAACAAAAAAAAACCAACAAAAAACCCAAACCAACTTAAGGCAATCAGTAGCTTCAAAACAGTTTGAAAAGCAAGAATTGGCCAAGTCTGCTCTGAGTAATGCCTGGCCCTCTAGCTGTTCAGAAGTAATAAGGTGTGTGCATGGGCTTCAGTACAAACTGTCTGAAGCTCTGTATTGCAGCCCGTCAGCATCGTGTTTCATAGCTTGACCACAAGGATATGTTTTGAATGCCCCGGGCTATAGTGTGAGTGCATACGTGGGCTGTTCATACCTACTGGGATTATTTTGAAGGACTCTGTGGCTGAAGAGAGCCAGTGGCTCATCCATACTGCCCATTAGGAGGCTTCCCCAAGGAAAACTGTTACTAAAGCCATACCCAGGTTTTACTTTAGGGGAAACTGGTTGTCACACTCAAAAAAAGAGAGCTTGAAAGTGAACTGGTGTACATACATGGCAGACAGACAGGGACCAGGACACAGAAGTGAGTGAGGCATCTGTGTTATTTAGGAGTATAAATGTACTTGCAACCAGACCTAACTGAAGCAATAAAACAGGACTTCATTGCAGTTGATGGGAAAAATTGCCATATGCCTTGGGCAAGTGATTGTTTCAAGTGGGCGCAAAATAGACAGTTGGTAGAGGTTGACTTTGGAAGAAAAGCAGAAAGCTACAGCATCAGGAGGAAGCATTAAAAATGGCATAAAACAAATGCAGTCATCTTTTAACAAAAACAAAAGAAAAAAAGAGAGAAAGGTAGTTGTGGTGAACTCAGCAGTGTCAGTGAATAAAATCCATACAGCTATAATAAAGGAAATATAATAGTGATATTTTGGGAGGGACTAATTTACTTCATTCCT